GCCAGCCATGCCTTCTGACATCCCCACTGCCCCATCTGATGATGCTGAGCCCCTCCTGCTGTCCAGGTGAGCCACGCTCCTTCCTTTGGAGGGCTGACTGGTGCAAGAGCAAACTTTGGGCTTCCTGCTTCTCCTGCTCATGGCCGTGGGAGCCATGTGCTCATCCCACCATTCCCTCAGGTCCCTGGTGAGTCATGTCCCACCGGTTGCACTTTAAGGGATGCCACTTGCCTTGAGGATGCTTAATGATGTTTAATGGCCCGGCAGCAAACGGTGCCCTTGTGACTCATAAACTGAATGATTGCACTTGGTTATGGACACTCTGCCTCAGGGCTTTCAGTGGGGACCTATAGGACATGGCACACGTGGGCGCTCAGCATGCCAGCAGAGAGGGCTGGAGGAGCAGGTCATGCATTAGCAGTACCAAGATTTCAGGATCATTCAGCAGAACTGTGGCCTACTGATGTTATTGCACAGACAATCTAACTTCTACTAAATTGCTTTGCTTGGTCTTGCATCTGAGTAGTAGCCAAGGGGCGGTAACAGCACTTGAGTAACACATCTCCTTCCAATGGGACACACAGTGACAAAGAGCCCTGCCAGAACTGAGGGTGCTGCAGGGCAGGAAGGGGGCCATAGAAGAGCAGCAGGGGCTGTGTTCACATGATGGGGAGGAGCAAGCAGGAAGCTTAATGGTGCAACCTATTCTTTTTTTCTCTTTTTATTCCAGGTCTACCTGGCTGCTGGGAAGGCCTATCAGCTGGAGACAACTCTGTCAGAGCTCGAGGAAGGGGCTCAGCACTGCGGCACGACCGACTCGGAGCTGTCGGAGCTGGAGGACAAAGTGGCCTCGGCAGCTGCGCAGGTCCAGCAGGCAGAGAGCGAGGTAAGGGCTCATCAGGAGCTACTTCACCTCCAGCCCAGCTAACAAAGCTGGTTGGCAGTCTTCCACACGCTGCCCACCTGTTTTGTTTCCCTCCCTTTAAAGATATCGGATATTGAATCTCGAATCGCGGCTCTGTCTGCTGCGGGGCTGACGGTGAAGCCGGTGGAAAAGGCAAGGAAGAAATCAAATGGGCAGGTGAGTGGGGAGGAGGGGGCTTGTGAGCACAGGGAGGGGCTGCCTGGCTGCTCCTGGCTCCTTCCTGGCTGCTCTGAGCCTCACTGAGGATGAGATGGGAGGCTGCTTTGGGGTGAAGCAAACCCAGAGAACCTGTGCCCCTTTTCTGTCTGCAGGCTTTCCACCTCTGCTCCCCCACCCCCATCAGCAGTCCAGGGGAGTCTTCGGATGATGTTAAGGTGGGTAGGTGTCTAGCATGTGTTTAATAAGTCTTAATCCTGTGTTCCAGGATGTGGGTTTGAGTGCTCAGCAAGGGCAGGAGGGCATCCTCTGGATGCACCTGTGTCTTCCTACCCACCACAGACTGCTTTCCCTCTCTTGCAGGCGATGTCTGGGCCCCAGGTCCTCAGGAGGAGGTTCAACAGTCCCTTTGAAATCACTGGTAAGAGCTGCGGCTTTGTCTGTGGGATGACCTCAGCTCATGAGATGCTCGGTCATTTCTATCTCTCTCTTCCTATTTTCTCCCTTTTTGGAATGCTGTTCCCTGTACTTGTGTCCTGCCAGCACAGCTACAGAGGAGACCTCATCTGTGGTGGAGGATCAGGGTCAGTGCTGGGGACAGGGTGAGGTGGCTGCCATACAGGTCTTGGTGGCAGACAACTGCCTGCCCCAAGGGCCACTGCTCTGCAGTGCAGGCTTCTACCATCCTAGTGGCTCTGCCTTCAAAACTAGCCCTTAACACCCCACCTAAGCTTCTTTCCTTAGCCATTTCTTCTCACTGATTCCCCTGGGGAGGGTATCCTTTGCCCTGCTATTTGCCCATCTCTGCCACTGGTCCCACTGGGAGGTTGGGAGCCAAGCCATGGAAAATGGCAGCTTGGGAGTGCTTCAAAGTAGGCCGTGACCTGAAACTCAGCCCAGCAGCCCATGTGGCAGAGGGCAATCACAGGAAAAGTTTCATCCTGACAGATATCAGCAAATGCCATTAGGAAATGACTTTTTCTATTTCCGTTATCTTGCCTCATACGCTTACAGGCAGAAGGAATGGCTCTCCTTCCAGATAACGCCAAATAGAAGATGAGTGGAGGAAAGGAGGGGAAAGATCACTTAATGCAAAGAAGGAATTGAGTTTCCCCATATGAGACAATTAAAAGCTCTGCTTCCCAGGCACAGGCTGGTAGGTGTAGAGGTCTCCTCGGTCATCCACTCTCCTAAGGCTATGGGCAGGCACATAAAGGCGGCCTCAAGGACACGTCAGTCCTGCAAAGAAGATAGAGAGATGCTCCATCAAGCCAGACGTCACTGGGAGAGCCTAATCCCCTCTGCATGAGCTGGAGCACTACCCAGCCTCACCTCATGCCTCTTCTTCCTTTACAGGCTTCGATGACTCCTTTGACCGCAACTCGGTTTACCGTGGCTCGCTGACGCAGAGGAACCCCAATGGGAAGAACAGGAGAGTGGAGCGTCTCTTTGCGGTACGTGGCCAGGCTGGCAGTGGTACCCCATCCTCCAGTGCTCCCCTCCAACCCACAGAGCCCCAGGAGGGACAGGGGATATGCTGTCCGTGTCACATGGGGCAGGGGACAGCAGTGCTGATGCCTTGCCTCTCATGCCTTGCAGAAGCCAGTGATGACCCACTTGTCCTGAAGAGGGGATGCCCACCTGCCACTGCATTTCAGTGACAGTGCGGGACTTCAGCACCCAGCCTTCCCCCAGTGCTTGCGCCTCCTTCTCCCATGGCCACATCCCCCTGGAAGCTGGAAGAGAGAGGAACAAGTTGCTGGAGTGCAGACACATGGCCGGATAATCATGAGGACAACATCTGTTTGGGCAGGATGCTGCTCTCCTTGTCCCTTCCACTAGGGACACTGTGAGAACCACTGGTGGTGATGCCAGAGGAAGGGTCCCCACGGTAAAGCACAGTGTCCCAGGGCCTGATGTGCAGCCCAGCACTGGTCCTGCCTCATCTCTGGGGCATCGCTTCCTTTCCCTGCACGGGAGCTGCACTGTGTTGCTCCTAGCAAGCTCTTGGCCAATGACTCATTGCACTAAACCCAGTAGGTACACACTGAGGCTTCTTGCCTGAAGCAGCTGGGCTCATGTGAGGGCAGGAGTGAGGTGAGGCTTGTGGGAAGAGGCAGCAGCTTTCACTGCACCAGTAGGAAGACGGCATGGGGTCAGTCTGACCAAAGGTGCCTTCTCTCCCTGCAACGTTCCATCAGCAGGCTCAGAAGGAAACCAGCACCAAGCTCTCTCCAGTCTGCAGAAAGGTCCCCCCTGGAGGTGTGCCTTTGTTGCCTGGAGACTGCACTGGCCCTGAGCACCCTCCCACTCTCTGAGGCTGGCTGTTTTCTGCTTCCACTAACTGAAGACAGAGGGGAGAAGGGGGAGATTTTTGTTAAGAACTTCAGCTCCATCTCTGCTTTTACTTTTAGCATGAATTCACAAGGTTTAGCTTTGGTCGTAGCAGAGAACTCACTATTTAGACATTAGTCCTGCAGTCATCCCAGAGCAGTCCTGTGAGGCTGGAAACTTACCTACCAGTTTTCCTTTTTTAAAGTGAAATCCTTCTGGTCTGAAGTCGAAGAAGTGGAAAGAGTTACACTCATGGCAGTGTGACTGCTTTTACCTTCCCCAGCTTGCAAGCAGTTCATGGTGTACACATACACATACACATGCACATGTCCCCCCTCCCTCGAGCAGCTGTGGAGGTTCTGCACCATGCTGGTTTGCAGCAGCTGAGCACAAATCCCTGCAGCATTCCACTGAGCTCTGAGAAATGCTGTGGGTTTGCTCTGGTGCCATGGTTCAACCCTCACCCACACGCCTCTCACTGTACTCGATTCCAGCAGTAAGCCCAGTCCTTTCAGGTGGTCAGGCAGACTCTTGACCCTCTGGAGCCCTCCTTGTAAGTCTCAGCAGCGTACAAATAAGGCATCGTTCAGGTTGTAGCTTTAACATTTACTGCTCTGTGTAGAGGTTATATATGCACACTGCATCACACAATAAAGCTGACATAGGGTCCAGAACCCGGAGGTTTATTTCACAGTGTCGTCCTTCAACATGCTGCGGCTAAGGATGCTTTGTCTCCCCGCCCTCCCCTTTGCCCAGGTGCTGTGGTTAAACCCTGGCCCCTCGCAGCCCCTTGCGCTTGGCCATATGGGTTCGGCTGTCCCCGCTGTGCCCCCTCGCTGGAGGGCAGCATGAAAAGCAATGCAGCACTGCTCGGGGTGAGCACGGTCAGGGGTACCCAGCTGCTGCTCCAGCCCCACGGAGCAGGGGATGCTTGGAGGCGGCCGTGCGCCTGCTCGTCCTGGCAGGGACCGCGTCTCTCCCGACCCCTCCCGCCCCCAGTACGGGTGGAATTCTTCCCCCTCGTCCCGAACCGCGTCACGTCGAGGACGGAGATCAGAACGCTCCCGAACGATGTGCCTCGGCCGGCTGGAGATAAAATTATGGCCCTCTATGAGTCACGAAAATCCTTTTCCTGATTTGACGAGAGCGAGCGCGGGGGGCGGTGGGGAGGGGAGATGCCTCGGCTCTGTCCCCGCCGGGGCTCGTTTCTGACATCAGCACGGAACAGGGCATAAAAGCGGCGAGCGGCGCCCCGGGGCGCACAGGGAGAGCGCTGGGCTCCGCGGGACGGCACCGGGCGCTGCGGGACCGAGGTAAGCGCGGGGCGAAGGGAGCGCGGCGAGGGCTCTCACGGCTGCTTCCCCGAACCGACGGCTTCGGCTGCAGGTGGGGCTGCTGCAAACTTCATCTCCTCCTACCTCCTGGGATTGAGCCTGCCGCCGGTCCCGGGATGCTGCGATGGGATCCGGATGGGGCTGGCTTTCCCCCATGGCGTTCCCCGATGGCGTTCCCGCGGCAGGGACGCGCTTTCTCCATCATTTCTCTACCAACCCGATCAGGGTCCAGCCAAGGGAAGCCGCCGGCTTCGTGACACCCTCAGAACGCGATTGCTCTGTATATGTGCCCGCAGGTTGGGATTGTCGCCGTTGCCGAGCCGCTGTCGTGGGAGAGCCTCGGGGATGAAGTTGGGAGCTACCTGCCTGCTGTGCTTGCTGCTCACCTGCATGGCCCCGCCCGCCGCCGGCCGCCTCCGTGTGCACTCCATGGAAATCAGGAGTAAGGAGAGCAGGAGTAAGGGAACCCCCAGGACCCTCCCTGGTCCCCCCATAGGTTCGAGCGGTGTCGCTTTGCAGCAGCCCGGCAGGCAGTCCCGAGCACTCCTCTCTCCCCTCGGTCCCTTTCTTTCTTCCCCACGCGCTGTGCCTCCCTGCACCGGCTGTTTCTCGTCTCTCTCTTTGCAGACCCAGACATCGACCCCTTCTGGTACACCGGCCGTGGCATCAGGCCCGTGGGGCGATTCGGGCGACGGCGAGCACTTGGGGAAAGCCCCCAACCCAGGGGGGCTGTCCTGAATCCTGCCTGCATCCCCGCGCACACCCAGCCCCCCCGGGAGCAGCAGAGTGCCTGAGCTGAAGATGGGGGATGCCAATAAAAGCCTTTTTTCCTCTCCTCCTACCTGGCCCTGACTCTCTGCTCCAAAACCCAGTGCTTAGGGGGGAGGGGGTTGGGGTGGGACAGGACATGAGCTCCAGTGATGGTGGTATCACCTAAAATTAAGCCCTGGGGGCTCTCCTGTCTTTCTGCAAGAGAATCCTATGGGATCCCCACAGTGTCAACACCCCTGAGAGCACCAAGCCCCCCACATCACTACAGAGCCCTTGTTTTCATGGCATAGGTCAGAGGGCTTCACTCACTCTGTGACACCCCTCTCACAAATCTCCATTGCTTTACCCATTCCCCAGTTTGCAGTGAGGATGATGTGGATCCCAAATGCAAGCTAAGGATGGATAGCAGGGATCAGGACTGCCTAGGGAAGGAAGGGTTAATCTGGGAGGAATGAAGCAAGTGGCAATTAGCTGCTATCAAATTAGCTGCCTAACTAACAAAGGGGATTTAGGCAGGAGGAGGAATCAGCTGGGAAGGATTCCCCCATCCCACACCCATCTCAGTGCTGGGCAGGTGTCGCAGAGGGTGGTGGTGTATGGGGGCAGGAGGGGAGGGCTTCCTGGCCATAGGAACCAGGAGGTCTTAACAGCTGGAGCATCTGATGAGGGCTACACTGCCACGCTCTGGTCCTCACCATCTCCAGACCTCCTGCATATTGGCACCCAGGGCAGAGAAAAGGATGCGGCTAAGATGAGCTGCTTTTTATTGGCAGTCAAGTCTTGAAGTTGTTGGGATGGGCTCCACAAGCCAAACTCTTTTCAGTCTGGGGAAGCTGGTGCATGGCTGGGGCAGGGGGATGTCCCCAGCCAGGCTGCTTCTTGACAGTGGACTTCCCCACTCACCTCTGGAGAACACCTTCACGAGATCCTGTTGAGGATCTGCATGCATTCACTGGCAGAAGATGGGCAGAAGGATCATTGCTCCACATTGGCTGTGAGCTATCCTGCGTTGTCACCTCTCAGCCACCGATGCCAACAGCACAAGGTCCAGCCCCACATCCTGTGAGGAGCCCGTGGCCCCTCAGACACGGCAGCACCCCCTCCTCGTCCCGCTTGCCCGCAGGTCCAAATGCTGCCTGCCACTCGTGGATGGGACAGCTGCCTTCTCACCTTCACGCCGCAGGAGCTCTCGGGCTGACAGGGAGCACAGAGCCACAGAGCATCACCTCTCTTGTCAGGGCATGGGGTCAGCCAATCTGTGTTGGAATGCACCTGCTGCTCTGTCCCACCCTACTGCTGCCATGTAGGTACCTCCCAGCAACTTCTAGCCAGTGTGGTGATGTCATTTGAAGGACAGATGTGCTGGGGCCACAGGTCGGGTCAGGTATGTATACACAGGTCGGGTACTTAACCCAAAAAACATAGTGGCTTTGATTTCTGCACCTCTAATGCTGCATCTTGGCATGGAGTTGTCTGTCCTAGGCAATGTGGTGCTGTGCCACCACAGCCACTGCCTCCTCCAACCTGGCAGGAGGGACACAAGCTGCAAAGCAGCTCTTGCTGGCCAGCTGGGCTTTGGGGAGAAGCCATCTGTAGCCTGGAAGCATAGGCAAGAAGAGCCCATTGTCTTCTCTAAATATTCTTCTTATAGCAAGAGGTAGAGCAGAGCACTCACACTGATTCCCAGTGTGAGGATGTGGCATCAGACTGGGGACAGAGCAGCTCTGCTGTGCCCCATGTTGCACAGGAGGTTTGGGGGAGCCAGGACCCATGGTTCCCCTGCTTTGGTTTTCACCTGGAGCCACCCCACACCTTACCTACGGCCATAAAGATGTCGTTTACTTGGTGGTTGGATTTTGCAGACGTCTCCACGAAGAGCAGGCTCCTGCTCCTTGCAAACTCTTCCCCATCCTAGGAGGAGAAGAGCAGTATTGTTTCCCCTGTGCCAAGGGACAGTGTAGCCTTGGGGACCCATGGGGACAAGGCAGGGCTCCTGCATGCCACTCAGCAATGGGGAGACCAGCTGGCAGAGCAAGAGGGATGCCACTTGGGAAGAAAAGGCTCTGCTAAGATGTGTCTTAATGCTTGCAATGGGGACATGGTGTGTGCTCACCTCAGCTGCAACCTCCCGTTCATCAGCCAGGTCTGTCTTGTTGCCCACCAAAGCAATGACAATTTCATCAGGAAGGAACTCCTTCTCCAGTTCCACCAGCCACTGCTTCGCTCTGTTGAATGTTTCCTGGGGAAAAGGGATTGCCACTCCTGATGCAGATACAGGGAAACTTTGATAGGAACCCCTGGGTTCTGCGGTTGCTGATGCATCCCAGCGGGACATTTATTTGCTTAGGGTTTGTGATCCCTTCTGCTTTATCAGGGACACATCCGGATGCTTGTCCCACCAGCTCCACTGCCACATAGCAGTGTTTTCATGTGGACAGGATGTGCATCCACCATCTCACCTTATTAGTGAGGTCATAAACAAGGAGTGCAGCGTGGGCACCACGGTAGTAGAGGTGGCAGACACTGTGGTACTTCTCTTGGCCAGCCGTGTCCCAGATCTCCAGCTTGATGGTGGCCGTCTCCAGTTGGATTGTCTGTGTGAAGAAGGAGCCTGCAAGATATGTGGTGGAGGACTCTGGTCTGCTGCTGTAGGACCAAAGCCGCTTTGAGGGGTGGTGACAATGCTGCAATGCACAAAACTGGATGGGTTTTTCTCAAAGGCACCCTGAGCCAATCAGCTCACATGGTGCTGTGTAGAGTTTGGCGTGGAGACGTCTGCTTTGATGACAACACCACTGCTGTCGTAGCTGCTGTGAATGACATTAGGGTAGGAGATCACAGCAATGTCCAGCAGAGCTATCTGAACCTGAAGAGTTTCACAGCATGGCCATGTACTGGTGGTGGGCAACTGTATGGGATCTGCTCAGTCATAGCCTGAACCTCTGATTGATCACTTGAAGTGAGCAATGAGTCAGCCAGAGGAGCACAGGTGAAGGCAATTCACCCGTGTTCCTAGACCTATTTAAGAGCTGGCTACCAGTACAGAAGGATTTCTTCTGGAGATCTGCTTTGCTGGAGTTTTGTAAGTGAGCCCAGGATACCGGTGAGCTTTCTATCTATTCTCTTTTTGTTATCATCATCTGCTTTGCCTAACTCTCTTGTTTATTTTGTAATTATAACATCTTAATATTCACTGATTATACAGTAACACTTGAAGAGACAGCATGTCACCAAGCAGGGCTGGTGGCCCTTCTTTTTGGCAGCTTTGGGTGGACACACAAGTTTTGATGTGTGCCCTGCCTGGGGTTGTTCAGCATGGTTGGGCAGAGCAGAACAGCGGGAAAGAGGTTTGCCCCACTGTGCTCCTGGACCCACACCTGGGTGAAGAACCTCGAGTAGACACTTCTGAGGTGTCCAAACAGGTGTAAGGGACCAAACATGCAAAAGGCAGATGGGACTGTATGACTTGGAACCCAGGTTCCCTCACTTTGCTGCTAAGCTGCCTCCAACAAGCAGAAGTAAATCGAGCCTCTGTGGTTTGGATGTGGCTTTGCTTACAGCACAAGGCAGAAGGAAATGGATCAAAGCAGCTCACTTACATCCTACAGTAGGCAGCGACTCCTTGAAGTCATTTTTCACGTATCTGTAGGCAAGGCTTGACTTTCCCACTGATGTGTTTCCCAGCAGGACCATCTTGTAGATGTAGGTGGGACGGTTATCCCCCAGGGAGCTGCCTGGCACCACTGTCTGCGCCATGTCCTGCAAGGAAATCGGCTCCATCAGAATGCGTCAGCAGTGATCCCAGGTCCACCAGCATGAATTCGCTACCAGTGGCAGTTGGGTGAGCGTGGTTTGGCTTCAAAATAGCCTGAATTAAATATAATAGCCCAATGTATCTGCCATTGCCTTGGACTATCAGCTGTGATCAGAGAGTGGAAATCTTTAAGAAGAAACCTGATGCAAGAGGCATGCTTGCATGTGGACAAGGAGATTTGTTTGCATGCATCTCCTTGAAGACGCAGAAATGTTCTTTAAGGACATGCTGGGGAGAGCTGCTGACAGAGAAACATAAATTAGGAGTGTGCCTTGCTCTTGAGCACCCCTTCTTGGGATACCTTACGCTGATATTGTGCATTTATTGAGGGATTGGGTTAACAGTTACACTGGGATAATCTAACTCAGGCTCTGAGCAGTGGGTTCACATCCCACACCCTTCCCCTAGCCCCCTGTGTGTCTCCCTCCTCTTACAAAAGCCCCTTGTTTCTGCATGCTGCCTGTCCCTTCATTTCAGTCTCTCCCCTGCAATCTGGCAGGCTTCAGGCCTTTAATTTTTCTCTGTGCCTCACCTGTTTGCCCCCATAATCAATGCAGGCTGTCTTCACAAGAAGCTGCATGAATTTCATCTGTATATGAGCTCTGTTTCTCATTATTTCATACTGCTGCTTCTTAAAATGCCCCCGAAGCTATCTCAATTTAACCCCAGAAGATTGCATTGGTACTTGAATAAAACTCACTCAACAATTACTGCAATTGCAGGAAAATTTCCTTTCAAACTTCTCCTACAAGCAAACAGCTATTAAGGACAGGAAGCTTTGCCAAACAATTTCTTTTTCGTCTTGAGAAGATGCAGGGGGTGCACCTTCCTTTTCATCCGAGGAGAACAGCAAGAAAGCAAAACAAATAGAATCATAAATCGGAATATCCCGAGTTGGAAATACCCCATAAGGGTCTCCAAACCTTGGCCCCGCACAGCAGCACATAAAGCTGAGTCTCTCCAAACCAGAAGCTCTAAACTAAAAGACACAAAAACCGTGCGAGATGCTTGCTGACCTTCTGTAAAGACGTAGAGGCTCCTTAGGAAAAGCAGGACCCCAGTATTACAGGCTGGGCTCAGGGCTCTGAGCACCTGATGGAGCTGTAGCTGTCCCTGTTCATTGCAGGGGAATTGGACTGGATGGCTTTTAGAGGTCCCTTCCAACTCCAACAATTCTGTGAATCTGTGCTTCTGCCCATGCACAGTAATTCTGCAG